GCTCGCGGAGGGGGTGGACAGGAAAAAGAAAATTTTTAAAATATATTAATAAAATTTTATATTTTAAAAACACCCTCTAAGGTACACTTAAGTCTTTGCCATACAAATCTATAAAAACACATCTAAAAACACCTAATTCATAAGCATCCTTAATTTTTGCTTTCAAGTTTTGTATTTCTAATTTGCACTGTATAGCATGGTTTGTCTGACATAGTGTGAGACTCCCCCTCCACATCGGAAGTGGGAAGGGAAAGGAATTAATATGAGCCTGTGTCTAGGGGTAGAGTTGAACCAAGTAGCTCGGCTCGACCTCGTGAGCTACTTGGTCAGCAGCTCGAGATTGAGCTCGGTTGACCAAGCTCGATCTCGAGCTCGAGCTGCTCGTTAGAGTTATCGAGTCGAGCTCGATTTTAGATATATGATACTTGAGAGCTCGACGAGGTCTATCAAGTTTTTTATAATATATATTTTAATTTTTATTATTGTGAAATATCAATAATATCCTTTAGTTAAAATTATATATAAAATATTAATTTTTATTACTTGAACTTGATTAGGCTTGATTGATCTCGAATAAGCTCGATTGAGCTTGATTTGAATTTATTACATTTAATTAAACTCGAGCTCGAGGTCGAATTTTAAAACCTCAACGAGCTCGAGCTCGAGCTTAGTTATTTTACTTCGAGTCGAGCTCGAGTGATACACTACTCGAGCTCGACTCGACTCGAATAGCAGACTACTCGAACTCGACTCGACAGCAGTCCTATCTATGTCTATGAACTACTAAATAACTTGGATTAATTATTTGAGTAAATATTATATACATTAATAATGTATATATTATTATGATTGAATATATGATATAGATATAATTTGAATTTTAAATTCAAATTCAAATTATATGTCATGCATTTAATGATGAAAATATATACATTATTATTATATAAAAAATTAATCCTAATTATTTTGAACCTATAGTTTTCGTTCAAAAGTTATTTGAGCCAGCATGTAGATCCAGTGTGTTACAGTTGGTACTAAAGCAAATCTGTGTAATCTCCATACAGGATAAGTTTGGGGCAATTAGTATTATGCTTCCAACGACCTAAGAAAGTGTAAGAAATTACGTGTGTGTTACGTTCGACCTCTAGAATCTACGGAATTTAGTGACACATTGGACGAGGCCACCCTAACACCTGTACAATGCACTTCGAGAGTTTATGCACAATGAGCAGACAATTTGAATCATTGTGGATTTCGCGTGGACACGAACGTCCTAAGACGGTGACCCCATCCCAGGTTAGAAGTGAGAAAAGAAAAGGAATTAATATATGAGTGTGAGCCCATGGTTACTACTATTTGATAACTCCATTCAATAATTATGTTTAATAATTTAAAATTTAATATATTCAAATATATTTAATAATAAAAAATAAAATATATGAATTAATTAAATAGTACTCCCTCCGTCCCACTTTGATAGTTTTGTTTTCCTTTTTCGTCTGTCCCAAATTATAGTCCACTTTCCTATTAAGAAATGTAGTAATCTTTCAAATTATCTAAAATACCCTTATTAAATATCTTGTTATTAATACATTGTTATTAAATACTAACCCACTACATTGAATACATTGAGCTTTTCCAATACTAACTCATTAGCTGTAACTGATATTAATTGGCACTCTTCGTGATTAGCATAAGGGTATTTTAGGAAATTATTAATCTAAATTTATGTTTCCAACCAAATTAATTACACTTTCTTAATCTGTGTGAAAAAAAAACCAAGACTAACAAAACGGGACGGAGGGAGTATTAAGTTTTCTATTTCATAATTCCATTCAATAATTATGTTTAATAATTTAGAATTTAATATATTCAAACATGTTTAATAATAAAAAATAAAATATATGAATTAATTAAATAGTATTAAGTTTTCTATGTAAACTTGCTTTCAAAAATAATTTATAAATTATTTATTTATCATTTAGTATGATATATACTCAAATATAATTTAATAAATTTAAATTTTAGATTTTTGTTTTATCAAATGCAACATGAGTATTATGGGTTGTATAAGAATTCCAAATTTAGAATTGTTTTTACAAAAATTGATTAAAGGAATTTTTAAAAAAATAAGAATTATATTCATAAAAAGGGAGAAAGTTACAGAACCTGCATCAGAGACCACAACTCCAATAAGATCCTTCATCTCATCGTTTAGCTTATCAAACTTCTCCTGTTGCAGCCTAAGAAGGATACTCAGGAATCTTACTCCCTTGAGGAGTTTTATCATTTGATCCTTCACCGTAACGAGGAAACTGGTATAGCATTCTGATATGATCACCCAGATACTTTGCTCGAGATAATCAATAAATTCAGCCACTAGACGCCTATTCTCCTTCAAAGCTAAAGTGTAGGATGATCTTGATAACTTGGAAGCTTCCAGGACATGGGTATAAATTTCTCCGACTTGGGGATCAATGGGAACAATCATCTTGTGTATTAGTTGAGAAATTTCAAATTTCGTTGCATTGCACACTTTCATATTGCATCTTTGGAACCCAAGTGTAGAAGCCAGGATTGCAACATTGACAGCTACAACTTCAATGTGAGCCAACAGATCTATCAATGGCTGACCCTCAACACCTTGTACTGTTGCAAAGCGAACGAAACTCTGCAAGAACATTAGCTTCTCTTGAAGAGTTTCTAGTACAGTTTTTAGAGCTGTATTAATTGATGCAACCTTCTTGTCACAAATACGCGCCAGATTCACTGAAATGGAATCAATGAAATACATAAGTACTTGTAGATCTCCCAGCGAGTATTTAAGCAAAAACCTGCTGACATCCAATTCCTTGATATCTGTTTCCACCAACAACCTCATATTTTTCTCAAATCTTTCGAGGTCACGTATGATTTCATTACGATCTGATGCACCATACTGCATATATCTAAAACGAACAGAGTCAAGTCCATGGGTTGACCCCCAAACCAGATCTTGAATCTTGAACGACACATTGCTAAGTTTCAAAGTGTCAAACTTAGCATCACCCCTGTCCTCCTTATCATATTCCAAACGCGTACCCTGTTTGCTCCTCCTCCTCCTCCTACACTTTCTAATAAACAGATCAAAGGTTTCCAATAGACGTATCCCTATCTTCAACTCCCTGATAGGAGAATAGTGATAGCCGATCATCTCATAAAACCACTCCAGAAAATCTGAAGCATAATCGAAGCAACTTTTGCTTGATTGATCTCGAATAAGCTCGATTGAACTTGATTTGAATTTATTACATTTAATTAAACTCGAGCTCGAGGTCGAATTTTAAAACCTCAACGAGCTCGAGCTCGAGCTTAGTTATTTTACTTCGAGTCGAGCTCGAGTGATACACTACTCGAGCTCGACTCGACTCGAATAGCAGACTACTCGAACTCGACTTGACTCGACTCGACAGCAGTCCTATCTGTGTCTATGAACTACTAAATAACTTGGATTAATTATTTGAGTAAATATTATATACATTAATAATGTATATATTATTATGATTGAATATATGATATATATATAATTTGAATTTTAAATTCAAATTTAAATTATATGTCATGCATTTAATGATGAAAATATATACACTATTATTATATAAAAAATTAATCCTAATTATTTTGAACCTATAGTTTTCGTTCAAAAGTTATTTGAGCCAGCATGTAGATCCAGTGTGTTACAGTTGGTACTAAAGCAAACCTGTGTAATCTCCGTACAGGATAAGTTTGGGGCAATTAGTATTATGCTTCCAACGACCTAAGAAAGTGTAAGAAATTACGTGTGTGTTACGTTCGACCTCTAGAATCTACGGAATTTAGTGACACATTGGACGAGGCCACCCTAACACCTGTACAATGCACTTCGAGAGTTTATGCACAATGAGCAGACAATTTGAATCATTGTGGACTTCGCGTGGACACGAACGTCCTAAGACGGTGACCCCATCCCAGGTTAGAAGTGAGAAAAGAAAAGGAATTAATATATGAGTGTGAGCCCATGGTTACTACTATTTGATAACTCCATTCAATAATTATGTTTAATAATTTAAAATTTAATATATTCAAATATATTTAATAATAAAAAATAAAATATATGAATTAATTAAATAGTACTCCCTCCGTCCCACTTTGATAGTTTTGTTTTCCTTTTTCGTCTGTCCCAAATTATAGTCCACTTTCCTATTAAGAAATGTAGTAATCTTTCAAATTATCTAAAATACCCTTATTAAATATCTTGTTATTAATACATTGTTATTAAATACTAACCCACTACATTGAATACATTGAGCTTTTCCAATACTAACTCATTAGCTGTAACTGATATTAATTGGCACTCTTCGTGATTAGCATAAGGGTATTTTAGGAAATTATTAATCTAAATTTATGTTTCCAACCAAATTAATTACACTTTCTTAATCTGTGTGAAAAAAAAACCAAGACTAACAAAACGGGACGGAGGGAGTATTAAGTTTTCTATTTCATAATTCCATTCAATAATTATGTTTAATAATTTAGAATTTAATATATTCAAACATGTTTAATAATAAAAAATAAAATATATGAATTAATTAAATAGTATTAAGTTTTCTATGTAAACTTGCTTTCAAAAATAATTTATAAATTATTTATTTATCATTTAGTATGATATATACTCAAATATAATTTAATAAATTTAAATTTTAGATTTTTGTTTCATCAAATGCAACATGAGTATTATGGGTTGTATAAGAATTCCAAATTTAGAATTGTTTTTACAAAAATTGATTAAAGGAATTTAAAAAAAAAAGAATTATTCTATTCTAAAGCTGATGATCAAAATTTTACAAAGAATATCTCTAAAATGTCATATTTTGAATTAATACAATTACGTGTAAGCACGTGGGGTCGAAAAAGCATTGAACCCCACCGCCATTGCTCAAACATAATTGCCATTCATCGGTAGTAGTACCAATCTTGCAACAAATCTCTTCCACCGTAGAGAAGTCTTTCTCACATACTCTCCGTCTTTGCAAAGGAATACCCAATGGCGGATGCATTTCTTGGTGCCACTATACAGTTTCTAGAGGGGAAAGTAATAACCTTGGCTTCCCAGCAGATTAGCCTTTCTTTAGCCTTTAAGAGAGATTTGCCGAAGCTGAAGAAAACACTTACCAAGATCCAAGCTGTTTTTCGTGATGCAGAGCAAAAGAAAGTCACCCTCGAGTACGCGAAGCTTTGGCTGAAGGAACTTGAAGACGTGGCTTTTGATGCTGATAACTTGTTGGATGATCTCAATTATGAAATGATTCTACGCAAAGTTGAGATTCAGAAACAGGTGAAGAGGAAGGTATACTTCTCTTTGTCACTCTTCAATCCCATCACATCTCGTTTCAATATCGCATATAGAATTCGAACGGTCACTATGGAATTGAAAAGAATTAATGAAGAAGCAAAGGGCTTTGGCCTCCGGTCACAAAATGGAGGATTTATGAAGAACAGAGAGACTAACTCTGTTACTATTGATTCAAGCTTTGTTGGAAGAGATGATGACCTCTCGATGATAGTGACAGGGTTGACTGCTGCGAGTAAAAATGAAATAGTCCTGGTTCTTCCTATAGTTGGCATGGGCGGGATTGGTAAGATCACCTTGGCTCGAAAAGCTTTTAACGATCTAAAGATTGAAAATCATATTTTGACAAGAGAATATGGATACGTGAATTAAAAGATTTTGATGTTAATAGATTTTTTAATTCGATTATAGAATCATTGCAAGTCTGAAAACCTGAAGCTGAGGGTCAAGAAGCCAGAGTCAAGCTGCTAAAAGAGTTATCGGATGATAAAAGGTATCTATTGGTCCTTGATAATGTGTGGAATGAGCAAGCCACACTATGGAATGATTTTCTTGGGTCTTTGAAAGGTATCAGCTCATCCAAGGGGAATTCCATTCTTCTAACCACCCGTCAGCAACAAGTGGCAGCCATGACAAGAATTTCTTCTTCTCCATGTTCTTTGAAAAAATTGCCAGATGATGAATGCTGGCTCATTCTCAAAGAAAATGCATGTGGTGTTGGGGAAGTGCCGGATGGACTGCAAGACATAGGATACGAGATTGCACAAAAATGCCAAGGTGTACCATTAGCTGCAAGTGTAGTCGGCTGGATATTGCGCAACAAGGGAAGTGATGAAAGGCTTTCAATTTTGGAGACTGGCCTTCAAAATTTAGGTGGAGATGAAAAGTTGAGCCTTCATCATCTTCCATCTCCATCGCTGAAAAAGTGCTTTGCATACTGTTCAATTTTTCCCAAAGACATTGAAATAAATAGTAGTCAGCTACTTCCAACTTTGGGCAGCAGAAAGATTTCTTCATTCAAATCCAAGAAACAATATGGAGATGGAGGAAGTTGGAGAAATGTTTTTTTTCGATTTTGTTGGAAACTAACTTGTTGCAAGATGCTGTGAGGGATGAGTACAGGAATGTTTTGAATTGCAAAATGCATGATCTTGTGCATGATTTGGCATTATCCATCTTCAATTATAAAGCCTTAAGGTTGAAAGGAACTAGAACATATTACGACGAGACCCTTTCTATTCGGTATCTTGCGACGGAGAATGGTGACGAAGAAATACCATTTCCTTTGCATGAGAGTTTCAGGTACATTACGACATTATTCTTGTCTGAAAGCAGATTAATCACTTGAGCATCTCATTTTATCAAACATTTTGAATCTAATGGAACGGATGGAAGCAGCATTTCATGATGAAAAAGATGATGGTATTTCCTGTTCTTGAGAAGTTAGAGATTAAGAATTGTACGCAATTAGCCATTGCTCCAAGTCATTTTCTGATTCTCAAGGAATTTCATGCCAAGGACATCAATCATGGATAAACCATAATAGCAAATATTTGCAGTCGAATCAGCGCTTTTACCAGTCTGTCAATTTGGAATGTCAAAGAGCTCACCAAGCTACCAAATGGGTTATTCCAAAATAATCCGAATCTTGCATTTTTCAAGTTGTACAATTGCCATGAGTTGGAGCAGTTGTTGGATTTCAGCTCTGGTGTTCAAATCCAAAATTGCCAAATAGTACCTGAGTTGAACCAATCATACAGTAATGTTGACAATATTAATTCTCAAGATCTGGTTGGTCTTAGTTCACTAGAGAAATTATATATTAGTTTATGCCCCTCCCTGAAGTCGATTTCAATCCCTAGGGGAGCCCAATACCTCATTGCCTTTCGAGAATTATGTATTCACAGCTGCAGTGGGTTAACCCATTTGTCAATCCCTAAAATATGGGGGGCTAGACTCTGAGTCCTGCTCTTCTTCATCCTCCAATGCTTGTTCTTTTCTTGAGCCATTTTGAAACTAACACATAGTTTTATATTTTGTATGAAAACATTCAACTATAGTTCACAAGTCTTCTTAGTAAAAAGGGAGGAAATATCCGTATTCTAATACTCCAATTTTATATCTTTTCTAGTAGATTTAGACCGAACACCTTCCTTCTCTATTCTAGATATACTATTGGAAATTAGTTTGTAGTATGAAAATTGATCAAGACTTGTAACATGATTTTTCTTATCATGTCTAGGAGTTTGATTCATGAATTTCCTATAAAGTTCATTGGTATTTTGACGTATCTTCTCAAGTTTATTAGTTCATTTATGGAACCACTTAATTCATGTATTTGATGTACTAAATTCATAAATGGTTATTAAGTGAAGATACATCTTCACATTGATGTGTCTTCTCACGTTCATTAGTTCATGAAACTACTCAATTAATGTATTTAAAGTACTAAATTCATGAATGGACATTAAGTGAAGATACATTGTTGTATCTTCTCAAATTTATTAGTTCATATATTTGGTGTACTCTATTCATAAATGGACACTAAATGAGATTCATGTACTTTAACTCTTGTATTGCCTATAAATAGAGGTAGTTTAACTTCTCTTGTGACAACTTATGCTGACACTATCTTAGATTTGCAAAACCAACTTCTTACATCCTTTTCTTATGAAAACTAAGCTTACACTTGCTATAGGCTAGTTTTCGTTTCCATTGTATTCTAGAGGTAATATACCATCTCAACCCGATTAGCAGGACTTGAAAATTCTCTTGAATTCTCAAAAAATTAGTTTAGTCAAGTTTTTGATATTATCCTTGTAATAACTTTGCAATAGGTTCATAGACTTGTAATTCCCACTTCTTACATCCTTTTTTTATGAAAACTAAGCTTACACTTGCTATAGATTAGTTTTCGTTTCCATTGTATCCTAGAGGTAATATACCATCTCAACCCAATTAACAGGACTTGAAAATTCTCTTGAATTCTCAAAAAATTAGTTTAGTCAAGTTTTTGATATTATTCTTGTAATAACTTTGCAGTAGGTTCCCATATTTCTCTAACACATTCGTCAATGTGACAAATGACTTAATTTCCCCCAAAGGGAATGTTGTTTCTCTTACAAGGTTAAGAGGGTTGGAAATTGGACCCTTCTCAGAAATCATGGATCTGCATTCGTTCCTAGACCTCTTCAAAACTCTCCGACCACAGCACCACTTGCCCTCCCTTTGGCATTTAAGTTTGTATGAAAACTTCAGCACGCCTCCTCCTTTGAAATTCTTGATTTAGAAGTTTTTGCAGTAAAATCATTGCCCGATTGGTTTGGGAAGCTTTCGTCACTTGTACAACTCGGGCTCGACTATTGTGAAACGCTAGAGAGTTTGCCTTCCAACCAATCAATGAGAAGCCTCGCCAAACTAAGATGGCTGCGGATTGAAGGTTGTCACCCTCTACAGGAAAGATGCAATCCAGAGAGCAGCCGCAGCAGCAACGCCCCCAATTCTGAGTGGTCCAAGATATCCCATGTTCCTGAAATCACCATTGATGGTTAGCAAATTGAAGGAATCTCTATGTAAAGTTCATGCTAATGTAAATTTCCCAATTAAAGATCCTCTGAATTCCTCTATAAGTTTCTTTCATCATTTCCTCCTCATACTCTTTCTGCTAAACAATTGATGCAAAAGATCTTGCTTGGCCCTGTGAACTTTTTTGCTGAGGTGTATGTGTGAGAGAGAGATTAATATTTTATTTTTCCGGATGACTATTCATTTGTGGTCTTTACTTGGTGTCCGGCTCTGCCAAATAACTCTTTTCCCTCCTACGTTTACTTGTGGCTGCCCAAGAACTGAGATTTTGGAGATCAGATGTAGTTCTTGCAGGATACGTTTTCGTGTTTCCTTTTTCATCACTTAAATAATGATGTGATTTATAATTTATGGCTATGTTGTGAATTGCAGCTGAAATTTTTGAAAGTTCAATTTTCTGAGCAACATGAAGTTTCTTCAAATTTGCTCATCTTGTTTTCCTTCTACCTTGCTTATGCACTTAGTAGATACATTGCATATCCAGTCCTGGTTTATATCCAGGACATCTTTAAATTCAGTTCTGGACTTTTGTTTTTCCTACTCTGACTTTTTTTTTTTAATTTTAAATTCTGTTCTGGGTTGTATCCAGGAGCGAAACTTCTAGACAAGTAAAGTCGGTTTTTGCTAAAACAAAGTACTAGAACTTGTTATCAATCAATAACATCTTGGCTTGTCTTTCAATATTCTAAAGGGAAATTACTATTACCCATGGTTTTGCATTTGACCACACCATAATGCTCCTCTTGTTCAATATTATTCACTTAACCCCCTGTAGTATTCTGTAAAGTGGAAAATAGACAGGAAAATCACCTGTAAAGCTTCCATTCATTTTTCAGTTATTAGTGCCTTAAATATCAAGAATTATCAACAAATAGTGAAGCTTGTCTTATGGTTGAACAGTCAAGTAGTGCCCTAAAGCAATTTCTTCATATATCTTCCAAATGGAACTTCTAGGTGAAATAACAGGCAATCTGGTATTTTTAATTTTACTGGGTATGCAGTGATTGAACAATGAAGTTTCATATCTTCCTTCTTGCAGCTGAATGCTGAAATTACTTGTTTTCTATAGTTAGCAAACCATAATACTTTGAGGTTGTGCATGCCTTAGTTTTGGAGTTAGTTTTTATCCCCTACTGGGCTATACTTGTCTGTTGAACTATGTTACTAGCTACGAGATTACATTCTTTTATGCTGTTAATTCTCTAATGCAACTGTCGTTTGTCAGACAGTTGCTCTAGTGCTATAGTTCTGATGAAGTCTCTGAAGACATGTGAAGTTTCCTATCTATGAATCACTATGAGCATAAGCTATTCTCCCAAGCTTCGGGGCTATTATAAGGTTGATGTAAAAGCTAGATTACATGGTTAGTATCTCAAGGTTGCATAAATTTCTCGAGTCTATCTTAAGATATTTCTTATTTTGTGTCTTTAAAACAAATCAGGGTAATGGACTCTACCTGGAGAAGGCCAAATTTTTTGATGTAGGAGAGGTAATGTTTGACGCTAAAACTATACATGAATATGTAATAGATATCATTCAGGTAGTGAATTTTTGAGGGAAAGGATCTACCCCATTGGCAATACAGTTCATGTGGATGGCAATCTCCCAGTGAAAAGGAATGTCCATGCAAATTTCTTGGAGTTATTTTTCGAACTCTGCAAAAATTCTTAAGTCCTTTAAATGGGCAAGTCAAATACCTTGATGGTACTTGCAAACAAACTAAAATTAGAAAAACAACAAACAAGTAAAAAAAAAAAAAAAGAACGTAAGGACTATTCCTATTGAAACCAGTTTTCTTATAATATTTGAGGGATCTGAACAAGATCCAAAGTCTAGATACGTCGTTTAAGATGGCTTGATCCCTTCAATGAAATTTGACTTGGGCTATACTGCAGGTGCAAAAGGTTTTCCAGTGGCGGTAACTTGAGATGCTGGGTTCCACCTAAGCTACTTGCACTCTTATGTTAGTATTAACTTCTCAAGAACTAATTCTACCATTTCATTCCTTTAAAAATCAAGCATTGATTGATGTTATTATCTTCTAAGAATTGAATTTTAATAACTCTTTTTATGCTGTACATTATTCATATTTGCTGTGCTTTGGACTCAGCAAGGCTTGGCATAAAATCAGTAACGTGGAATGAAAAACGCTGTTGACTAAGGCCTGATGGTAGCTCACTGTTTTTTGCTCACAAGACACACTATGAATAGCTAAGGCAAGGCATCTTTTCAGCAACCTTTGCTATATTATCTAAGATTATGCAATGAGGATATGGATCCCAAGATTTAGGTCTTAAATTGTCCCAGTTCAAGTCATCCTTTGCAGCTGGACAAGAAAAAGTAGGAAAACTTTTTTACTTGGGGGAATCTGTCTGGGCTCTTTCAAAAGGAAGACTCTTGCACTTTAATTCCAAAATGAGAAGGTTAAGGTACAAGTCTGTGTGAGTGCAATGCTTTCTGCATCGGTTAATTCTCATTGGGCAATTCATTGTCTGATGTCATTTCTTCATATGGTCAAAGGCAATTCTAAGTCTAGTTTGAGAGTCTACATTCACATTGGTGAGTCCCTGGAAAATATATGAGAAGGACAGATAGAGTCTCTTGAGGCTTAGAGCTCTCGCAGAAGCTGCATGAAAGATGATTCTAGCTGGCTACAGGGATTTTCACTCATGAGGTACTTCTCTTTGTGATGAAGTTATACTGATTCAAGAAAACTTATTTGATTTTCACCGCCACTTCTGATCTATTTGTGATTTCATCATATTTTCATAATCAATAGAATCAAAGAGGTCTTCATGATTGCCATGTATTTTAAACTTGTGAAATTGTGAATCCCATTGTTTACAAGGTAAATTACAAGGTAATGAACAGACAGATGGAAAAGCCAATACATGGGAAAACTCCTGGTTGGATTTTTAAGTAATCATATGTCCTTACTCTTCTAATCAAGCATATACTTCTGAATCTGCTGCTTTCATTTTTTGGAGTGTAATTATTATTGCTCTTAACCTTGTGATGATCAAAATGCCTTATCGCCTTGTTTTTCTCCATTTAGATGACAAATGCTGCAAATGAGGCTTGTCAGCCCTTTCAATGAAGGACGAGGGGCCTGGACGGTTGTCACGGCCTAGATGAGGCAGTTCACGGCCTAGATGAGGCCTCAAGAATTTGTGCGGCTCAGATCACGTCTTGTAACTCGATTTTCACGCCGTGTGGGACCCACAAAAATGTTGTTCTAATGTTACTCGCTGTTGTTCTATTGTTACACCTTGTACAGATGATGTTACATCATGTATAAATGGTGTTACACCTTCCGGAGCGGTTGTCAACCCCGCGTCCTTCAATGAAATATAGCCTGATCGAATTGAGAAGCATTCGTCTGAAGGGTTCTAAGTTGGCACATCTGAAATGCTTGAGTAGTAACTTTCCCACCAAACCATTAGAAGACTCCCTATGGGATGTGAATCTTCTTATCTGAACGGAAGATGATGTCAGGAGGGCAGCTGCCCCAACATTGAGTGGTGTAAGAGTTCAAAGCTTTTTGTACCTTGTGATTTATCATTTTTTAATTGGATACAAAGTTGTCATAATTTGCTCAAATTCTAAGGAACTCTGGTCTACAGCTGTCTCATTCCCTGTTTAACTGATCTTTAGATACAGGCTCTGAAGAGATTTCACATGGCCACTTGTACATATCATATATTTATCAGATTATCATCTGCTTCAGTTTAAATTACGCTTCAGATCACTCAACTCTGTGCTACATGCTCTGCTTGAGTATATTTCGTAGATTTGAAAAATCTATTTGGAGTTGGGACTTTGTTGGATTATATACTGGGACTGCTTACTAGAATGATTTTGACACTCATTCTCCAGTTTCCCCTCCACAATAACTTGTCTGCAATATGATCTAAATGATGATTTGGATTTGCAATATTTCAGTGTCAATTGTATTTTGTATGTTTCTCATTCAGGAGGGAATTGCTTCACATAAGTGGGGATTGCTTTCACAAGAACTAGTCATGGTCATAGAGATTGTAGATATTCCTTTTTGCTCTACTTTTTTTTTTTGGATCCCAATTCTTTTTGAAATACTAAATTCTCTCACCTCAAGTGAAATAAGAAATATATCTAGGAAAAAAGATCATTGGAAGTACCTTTTATTTTAGGATTACTCTTTTAAAGATCATTAAAGGGTCATTAGTATCACTTGAAATTAATATTGTAATCTAATCTTTATTGTGCCTTTGTTATCCCTTTGACTTGCTGAAATGGGCATGGTCACAATGAGATCTTATCTGGCTAGGAAATAGTTAAAATGTAGTATTACTAACATTTTAGTACATCTGCAAAGGCCCAAATGCTGTATATATTATTCAGCATGTGTGTTAAGTTGCAGTTCTACAATCATATGCATAATTATTTTAAAAGAAAATTTACTGAAGCTCATACTTACGTTTGTTGAGTGAACAATTACATGAAAACATTTTTTTTTAAAAAAAATTAAAAAAAATAGATGCGGATTGATTTTTTTTTTTGGCTTCTAGGAAGGATGCTCATAATGTTCAAGATCATTGGTTTTAATTTAAATCTTTCCTTGGGTGGTCAAATAAAATGATAAGTTTACTTCTTCCAAACTTTTTCTGTTCAAGAATTGAGATTGTTTATGTTAAAGTAAGAAATTTTGGGATATTTTTACAAGTCAACAACTGAAATGTCTTAAAGTTTCTCCTTTTTCTTAAGGCACGATAAATTTTGTCAACTTAGTGCTTTTGATTCGTCATTTTTTGCTGCTTATCCTATTTTTCTTTTCTATACGTAGCTCAAGTACATGCACTACGTATCACTCTTTTTTCCTTTTTCTTTTCACTGGGCCTTTCGCTCAAGCACATGATAGCTTTTAAGCAATCAGACTGTCTTGACTTCTTTTGAAATTCAAAAAGCGTTAAATTTCGTATGGATGATTGTCTATCAAAATATTTTACAGCACAAGATGCTTGCAACATACCATTAACACTTCGGAATCATTCTTCATGGCTTATCCTTTATTCATGTATTCATGTTCGGAATGTTGACCGGCTTCTAGATGGAAATTTGTTGGAAATTTTTTGATGCAACACGAATGTGATTTTTTAACGGGTAGAATGGAGGGGAAATTACATAATACACCATAAGTTATTAAACCCGACTCA